AACCCAAACCCTAACCCTAACTCTAACCCTAACCCTAACCCTAACCCTAACCCTAACTTTAACCCTAACCCTAACCCTAACCCTAACCCTAACCATATCAGCTAGATAGTTACCAGCGTACGTTCCGGTATACCGGACCGTACCCAGGGTACGTTCCGGCAGTACCCTGGGGGACATAGACCCTATGAGCACTAAGGCTGCTAATACTAATACTAATACTAATACTAATACTAATACTAATACTAATACTAATACTAATACTTATACTAATACTAATACTAATACAAATACTAATACTAATACTAATACTAATACTAATACTAATACTAATACTAATACTAATACTAATACTAATACTAATAGTAATAATAATACTAATACTAATACTAATACTAATACTAATTCTAATACTAATAATAAAACTAATCGTGATAAAGCTCGGTCGCGAGACGTTATTGTTATTTTTAATACATGCCTTTTCGTCATCCTTCGTGAATTCCTGGCCTCCACGTTTATTGATGACCTGGGTCACCCCAATGACGACACCGTCCGTGTCGGTGATGGGCATGCACAGAAGAGTGTTCGTCTCATATCCCGTCATCCTGTCAGCTTCGTTGTCGTATCGCGGATCCTGGCGGTAAATAAGCAAGTTTGTTCATTGTTATTCAAGGTTAGATATTGTTATTGTTATTGTTATTATTGTTCAAGGTTAAATTTGTCGTTTAACTTGACGTATTGCGTTTCGTCGCTGTTTTTTTCTTTAATGCTAAACCAAGACACATTAGGCCTACTATGATGGTATTAATTATGAGTCATATTACATATATTATAATTGTGATTGTATATTATATATAGTATATTACATAGATATATTTAAGTGTTTGGGGATAAATTATTGGCGACTTATAACTATATGACAGTGAGACATTGTAATAAACATTTTAACTGAGGGCGCAACAAACAAAATTTAACGGGCATGCGAAAAAATTTCGTTTGAACTATTCAAAAAAGTACGTTTAACCCGATCATGTGAACAAATTGTTATAGTAAGACATTTGGATAGGGGTTGTTTATAGCGCAGCATTCATCGAACATGTGTTTACTATATTAAATGTAATGGATGCTTAATATTGGCACGCCTGAACAAAAATACGCATTGTTTAATATGGCCTCTGGCTGGCTGAAAAAATAGTAATACACTTGGACAAAACGTGCAAGTAATATTTGACATAGTCTCACAGAGAACGAGCCAAGTAACTAGCGAAATGCTTGAAGTGAAAAGTGTTATCTAAAAGTTTGATAGCGACGCACAGTTAATGCTGACAACTTTAAAATTCCGCGTGAGTACTGATAGCAAATCCCGATCCCAGTAGATTTGAAAGGTTAATAATATATAATCAGGCATCAGGAGTTAATAAAGGCAATTTGTCTTTATTAACTCCTGATATAATGTATCGCACAGTAAATGTGTTTGTATGATGTTTCTTTGGAGAAAACAGAAATTCTAATGTTCACATAATAATTCAGAATGAGAAGCGTTGTGGGAATCGCTGTGAGCACACAGATTGCCTTTATGAAAAAGAGTGCGCTACCGGCTACGCCCAACTATTTAGCTTTCATGTATTTCAGATGTCGTTACAAACGCTAAACCACGATGGAATAAAATACATCATATAATATGTTGTGTCGATCTACCGCTGTAGGAGGAGCCGACTTAAGAAATTGTTCTAGATAGCACATGTTTGTAAATTTCCAAATCTAATATATACGTCAATCGATTCGGCCATTCCTATGTTAAAGACATTCACGCACTAATCATCATTTATTCACCTATTCCTTCTCTAACTATCTATTGCTCTTTCGTTGTTCGTTTGACCATGTCGGGCATTCACTCTCAAAATTGAGGCACTCAGTAAATCACGCGTAATTAAAGGCAATTGCCAATTAATAAACCAGCCAGTGGACATAACAGTACGTAACAAAACATATGCAATCATTATTCAACAATCTGGTAACAATAAAGCGAATCTGACCACCACACCAAGCGCACCAAGTGTGATTCTTCCGCCCAATAAACCAACCTAGCGTCTATGGCTAAATGTTTCCGTGGTTATTAAAACCCATCGAATGTTTCCGTTTTTAGTCGCATCGCCGGCGTGAAATAAAATTCGTTACCGCAAAATGGCGAAGCCGGACGTTTTAAATTTTTTATATGAACATTTTTGTTGTTTTACTGGCTTGCTAGACTCTGGCCTAATAATAATATTAACTTATTGACTTATGGCGTGCATTGCATGGAAATATGTTCGCGCCCATATCAGCATTAGAAAAACGCGTAACAGTATGCATTATCCATCATCCCTAGCTGACAGCATAACCAGAACCGCAAACCATCGGTTTTTAGTGTTTACTATCATTATTACCATAGCAGTGAAACCATTGAATGTCAAGCTTCAAGCGTGCACGAAATCTATACTATGTACGAAAAGACAGAGGAATTTCAAGGGATTTCAGTGAAAAGGTTCTGAATTCCCTGGATGCTGGCTATTTACGTTAGTCTACATTTTAAGTGCATCAATTCTATTCAAACGAATGCAACCTTTCTATTAAAGTAAAAATGTCACTTGCAGTCACAATATGGGCGGGGGAGCTGAGCCATTGAGCCCCCTCTGGACTCGCCCGTGGAATTCAATCACTTTGCCACGACCAAATATAGCTTATAAGGCGCCGTAGGGAAAAGAGAGAGACACACGTACGGCTCTCCCATATTATTTAGAAACCGCGAATTTAGCAATATAAAGGAAACACCGTCTATGGGTGCGATACAACTTTTCCCGGTACGCTATCACATATGATCTATCGTGATATATCATATATCGACATATATGATAGCGTGCCGGGGAAAGTTAGGTGGAAAAGACGGTACACGGCGATGTACATGTTGAATCAGGCGCAGCTTCACGGACTTAGGCATCGAACACCATACATAAGGGTGTATAGAAGTAGTCTCCTACAATCTACCCACACTGCATCTTAGTAACTGCGATTGCCTCGCTGTTCATAACTTGGCTTTACTTGATTGTGAACTGATACACATGTACTGGACTACTGTGATTGTGCAGTCACAATTAAGCTGTTCTTGTGTTTTTAACTGATCAATCGTGCAGCTTGTTAATTAACGAACCAATCGTCGTTAGGGTTTTTGTAGTAACGGGCAACTCTGTGATGGTATCTCAAGTGTATATATAATAACGTATAAAGAACCTAGCAGTTTTTTTTTTTTAGCTCGCTTCACATCGTTAACGTCGTGTTGAAATCAAACGTCGTTAACGTCGTGTTGTGATTAAACGAGATAAGACTAGCGCACGGATACTGCTCAGCTATAAAGAAACCTCTTATTTGCTAAAAGCATTCCAAATTTACGACGCATATTAGATTAGTGACAATGTTAGCGTCACATTGAAAGGAAGTAATAACTTCGTAACGACAAGTTCGCCTACAATCATGATAACGCATCCGGCTTATGAAGAAATTTTGCGATCGATTAAACAAAATTACTCCGGAAAATGTGTTGGAATCGACAGACACTATATGCGCACGACTTTAACACTAACCAATTAAAACCGTCTATGTGCGTGTTTTCTTATTCTGAGAAGTTGACAGAATTCCTACGATAGATATAGGCCTAGTCTTGCATAGCGCGGACCAAAAGGAACAAGTTTTAGTAGTTCTCAAGGGACAATTGTTCAGTCAAGCAGCTTACAGCGAAAATCATAATTTATGATGCCCGATGGATTTAAGTGGAGTATTTCCCATTTACATAATTAGCGTAAACCCATGAACGCCTAATAGCATCTCATGCATTCCAGTACAATATAGATGAAACCTACCGACTGAACATCCTACAATCGACGCAATTAACAGCTTATAGAATAGGTTTCGAACTGCAATGTGTAAAATTCTACAATGTATAGTTATGTATGTAGCGTTGTAAAACGACTACACCAAGTTTGTGATTAGCGATGAAGAATACGATGCTGACTTTTTTCTTCCAGGCCCACCTATTAAATAATGGTCGGTGTGGTATACGTTTATACGATATACAAATTACCCGCGTATAGCAAATAGACAAATAACGTGGAAGTTTTGCACGTCTGACATTTTTTCCGTGTATTCGCGCATGGATTTCACAGACCGTTTCGATTTACCTCGTATTCAATTCGAGTGAGATTATACCAATATAGCTGCGTAGGAAGCACGCTGCTTAATTTACATTGTGGTGTTTAGTGTAATTATGAAACAATTACTGACTCTAAGAGGTTACTAATTGCAATTGCTATATAATTAAAAATTTGGACAAAATTGTGGGTTCGGGCATTTACTGCATCAGCATTGGTGTCAGATTTACTACATGACGAGGTCTATGGTTGGCCAAGATAATTTAACCGCGGTAAAATTATAGCTTTTTTACCCAATCAGAGGCCTTGTTACACTTAATTTAACCGCGAATAAATAATTTTTACCGCGGTAAAAATAATGTAACTGCGGTAAAATTATAGCCATTTTTACCCAACCCCCCTTTTTTCGACGGGGCCTGAGCCTTCCCCGACATTGGGTGGTCTGCACCCCTTTAGCATCATACCTGACATTGAAGGTACGTTTTCGCTTATTTCTGTAAGATGACAAAACGGACATACGGTATAACTAGATGCTAGTCAGCCACATATTAAATATGTCATCTCTGCCCCTCTAGTTCATGCATTTACAATGTAACATAATATTAAAATTCAGACAATCAAAATAATTTCGAATTCCATCGCAATGATTACTCCCACTACAATTTTCTCTTTGTGATAAATACAAAACAGCGATGCACCCAAATTACCGATAAGTACACACGCATAGTAATTATACGATAACCTTCACGATGATGTCATATCGCGGGCAGCCTTCCGCCAGCTATCACGAGAAATCAACTATTACGTGAGTCATCCGATGCAGCATCGAAGTAACACTATATTTTTTACTTTTACAATTACGCCACCGTATTACTTCACCGCACCGCGGATATCAAACCGCGGAAACAATTTGCGGCGGCGAGCGCATGAATAAACAAAGCGAACAGCGGAGACGGATTCTTGTTTCCATCGGTGTCGTGCAAGCTCATGATTAGGACAACGTCATCCACGATACCATACGAGTTTTAATCTGCTCCTAGCAGCCTATATTTTTCAACGTCAAACCAATTAACTCGTGACGAAAAAAGAGTTTTTCTCATCCTGGCAAACCGGCCTATATGGGCCAGGAGCAATCGAAGAGAATTTGTGTCATAAGCGAGAAATAATCAAATGCTGTAATCAACGCACTGGGAAATAACGATGAGAAAGTATATTGCTATTGCCATACTCTAGTGTAGATTAACCTTTAGTGAGTGGAATATAACGATTATAATAATATTGATATTGATCATGCTAATGATGACGACGCCGATGTTGATGATGATTGCTATTTCATTATTACTGTTGCTATTGCTGTTTTGCCATTATCGACATCATCGCGTCGTCGTCATCATCATCACCAGCAACAGCATCATCATCATCATCATCATCATCATCATCATCAGCAGCAGCA